CAAAGAAAATAGTTGTTCACACACGTATGTGCTGCCAAACTTTCGACAACGTTTGAGCAGCCTGGATGCGCAGCGGGACCACTGTGTCGGGGAGGAAACCGTCAAACTGCGCAGCACGCACTGCCGTATCTTTGCAGAAACACTGCAATTGTGTTTCTGCTAATGCTTACGTTTAAAAAGAGTTGCTTTTTTTGGGGTAAACTTCGTCACAAACTTTAAGTATACCGTTTTTAATGAAATCCCCCTTCCCCCTCCATGTTCTTGTTTTTGTTCGCGTGTTTCGTTTCATGATGTCGTCTCAGATTACACTATTTCAATCGCGCCACACTTTCTCCGCACAGAAGACACACAGGTTTTCCAGCTACGTCCATGAACATGTACTTCGACTCCCACCTTGTTTGAAACCCCCAGTTCTCAGTGTCCACCTTCCGTTTTGCCATTTTTGATGGGTATCTGAAAGCTAATGTCACTGTCATGGGAACGACTGCTAGACTAATAAATATTTAAATAAAGCGGCCGACTGCTTGGCGCGTCACCGTTGCATTGTGGGAAATGTAGTATTGGTGCGTGTAAAAGATCTGCGGGCTCTCGGCTTGCTGCGGTCCGCGGGCCGGTTCTAATAATAAATCAATATCATCCCAGGGGCCACTGAAAACATTCTCGCGGGCCGGATTTGGCCCGCGGGCCGGCACTTTGACATATGTGCCTTAGAACATCTAAATTGTGCTGTATGATGACTGATTTCTTTTCCTTTTTTACAATTTTACTTATCTTTACTTTCTCTCAATTTTCTTACTGTGCATGTTCAATAAACAACAAAACAAACAAACAAACAAACAAACAAACCTATCAAGGAAGCGACTATGATTTTAAGTATTTCATAAAGGGTGTATTGTGATTGTTATAGTCTTATAGGGGAGTGCTAGGACCAAACTTTGGACCGGGAACTGTTGTCGACTGCGGCCGTCTCTTGATGAAGAATAATCGTGGATGTGGGGTGGGCGCAGCCGTCATGCACTAAAAAGTTGCATTGCTGTAGCAAAACGTAGTCAGCAACGGGGTGCGGCCGTCACCTGCTGAAACTTAGTTATTGACGGGGGTGGAAGGTAGTGGTCATGGTGGGGGCGGTGGTGGCGGACGCCTTCTAGCAACCATGATGGCCAGGACCGGCCCGGAAATACAACAGCCATCAACATATTTTCCTGAAATTCCCAATGGCCAACCTGCTCCTAGACTCAACATTCGGTCATTTTGAGAAAGATTGAAAATGGTCTGATCGTGGTCTGAATAGAATTTTAAAACTGTGTTGCTCCCTTTGCACAGCAGCACGGTTCATTTTAGATTAGTGGTTTTACCGGTAATGTACTTGTTTTGGTGTGACTGATGAGAATAATATCAAAAATCACTTTTGCAGTTGCTTTTCCCCCCCAAAAAAAAATTTGAAATAAGCTTTTCAGTTGTCGAAATTTCATTAATTCAAATGTGATCTTTGTTTTGAGTCAAAGTGGCACTTTTTGCCATTTCAATTATCTCTTTTGATGGGTCCACTTCATCTCATTTCAGTTCACAGTTCAGCTTGACTTGGAGATAGTTTGTCAAAGTACCCCTTTCCAAAGACTTCCTGTATTCTGTGTTCATCTTTCTCACATGAGAAAATGCACGTTCAATGTCTGCATTGCTATGTGGTAGACATGTAAATGGAGAGAACCTAATGTCATTTTTGTATTTTTCTAGGTACATCAGAATAAATGAAAAAAATAAAAAATAAAGAAGCAAATTCTTTTTGCATTATTTTATGTACACGAACATAAAAATATTGCAAAAGATTATATTTCTAATAGTGCACTACTATAAAAGTAAAGTCCTCAAATACAAATCTTGTTTTAATGATTTTTTTTTTACAACGAAAAACTAGTTTTATCCCATTGTTCAGCAATTAAAAATGAAGTGTTGTATGTAGATGAGCATGAATAAAATAAACTGACCGTGTTTTGTCAGTGACGAAATAAATGAATGAATAGGCATACTGTGCTCCTATCGAAGATATATGAATAAAATGACAACTGTAATAAAATGTGTTTCATAATTCAAGGAAAAATTTAAACAGTGCCGAAGGGCCCCAACGAAACACTGTGTGACTCACTTTTTATTTGATCCCTCCAGGTTCAAGAAGCATGCAGGTGGTGAAAACAGTACATGTAAGCTATTTTGACGGACTAAACTGTTAACCAAAGGCCACACTCTTGTGCAGTCTTTGTTTACTTATTGAACATGTCTACAGGCTCACCAAGGACATGTCCAACCCTGAAAGTACAATATAGTACTTCCTGGGTTCAACTTCGATCTGTAAAAGAACACTTTTAAGATGGTTAAAAAAAATGCAATATGCATCAGCGCCCGATGTTTTATACAGTGGGCATTGCAATGTACAGTTATTGCTTTGCATCTAAACATGCTGTTTCACGTGCTATTTCGTTGCATACACAGCAGATGGTAGCAAAAACATAATAAACGTTCATCTGTTTTCTGCATTAATGATTTCATGATGGCAGTTTTCGTCCGAGGAATATTGACTAGTCTGTGTTGGTTTAATATGCTTTATTCACCGAAGGTACAAAAGGTATTCTTGGGCGAATCGTATAGACGACTTCAGTCCTGTACATAACATAATTGCAGTTGTTTATTTCTGGAAAGTTTAAGAATGACATGGGAGTAGTTTTTGGAAAACGACATAATTATGACAATACGTTTACAGTATATGATACAAGATGTGATTGCTTTATTTCCCATTTAACATACCTTCCAAAGCTTAAAACAACACACATCCCAAACATAACATTGACAGAAAATAACAATTCACAATTAAGTACCGTATTTTCCGCACTAGAAGGCGCACTGAATTATGAATGAATGAATCCTTTATTGTCATTGCACACTTTACGAGATTTTGCAGGACCATCCACCCACTAAATGTATCAAGAAATATATAAATGCATTGCACTCCCCTAGACATACTCACAATCACATACACACGTTTAAAAGTTGAGATTCAACGTTATGGAATGGATTTTTGAAAATTGTGACTATACACTGTTCAAGGAAGGGTTAAAGTAGATTGTTTTTGAAAATATATGAATTTTGTATGAATCAGGCATTGACATGAGAATATGTAAAATATTCGGCAATAATTAAGATACAGTCAGTGATGTCATGAGATATATAGTAAAATTGCACTCCCATAGGCCTCCACATTCACATACACACGATTTAAGAATTGAGAATCAACAGCCTGACTGCCCAGGGATAGAAAGTGTTTCTATGTCTGTTGGTCCGGCTTCTCATGACTCTATATTTCCTGCCCGAGGGCAGGAGGTTGAAGAGGCACCTGCCAGGGTGGGATGGATCAGTTAGGATTTTCTTTGCCCTTTGTAGCCCCCTTGAGTTCGCGATGTCATCCAGGGATGGCAGGGGCAGCCGATGATTTTTTGTGCCGCCTTTATGACTCCCTGCAGAGCATTTCTGTCCTTGGCCGTGCAGCCAGCATGCCACGCTGTGATGCCGTACACCAATACGCTCTCCACTGTGGAGCGGTAGAATGTGTGTCGCAGGTGTGCCCCCGTCTGGCATTTGTTCAGCAATCTTAAGAAGTGCAGCCTCTGTTGCGCTTTCCCGACCAAAGCATCCGTGTTGGTGTGCCATTTGAGGTTATCCGCTACATGCACATCCAGGAACTTAAACGTCGAGACCTTCTCCACACAGACACCGCCTATCTGTAGTGGGGAGGGGTCTACTCTCTTCCTCCTCCAGTCCATCACCATCTCCTTTGTTTTGCTGGTGTTCAGCAGCAAGTTGTTTGATGAACACCAGCCTACGAGTCTCTGTATCTCCTCCCTGTACGCCGTCTCATCGCCATCGGAAATGAGACCCACCAATGTAGTGTCATCGGTGAATTTCACAGTGACATTGGAGTCATACATGGGGCTACAGTCATGTGTGTAGAGCGTGAACAGGAAGGGGCTCAGCAGACAGCCCTGGGGGAGCCCGTCCTGAGTGTCAGTGTGGAGGATGTGTGGGGCCCCACCCTCACAGTCTGTGGTCGATCTGTCAGAAAGCTTTTGATCCATTTGCGGGTGGGGGATGGGTAGCCCAGGTCCTTCAACTTTGTGATGAGAATGTCGGTCAGGATAGTATTGAATGCTGAACTAAAATCCACAAAAAGCACCCTGACATAGCTTCCTTGCTTCTCTCCATGGCTCGCGGCAGCGTGAACAAAGGTGGAGATGGCATTAGCTGTTGATCTATTTTGTTTATAGGCAAATATTTTGTCTGTAGGCTAACTGATGCTGGTCAAAGTTCTGTGGGAGGCGTGATTTTTAGGTGGCAAAGAACTAGCCTCTCAAGACATTTCATGACCACTGGGGTCAGTGCCACTGGTCTGTAATCATTCAAGCTGCTGATGGTGTGTTTCTTGGGGACAGGTATGTCACAAAATAAATTCTGTAGGGGGGCTGTCAAATTTATTTTGTGATTAACTTGCTTGATTTTCTGTTTTGATGCATTATTTTCAATTCTCGTAGTTTCACTGACCCAACAGCAAGTTGTAGCATTGTAAGCATGTCTCCAGCAAGGAGCCATCTTGGTGGGGGTCGACGTATTACCGTAATGACCATACACAAAGCACACCGGATTTTAAGGTGCGCGGTGAGCTTTTAAGAAAATGGAAGACTTTTCGGTGCGCCTTATAGTGCAGAAAATACGGTACCCTGAGTAAATCCTAATCTTTTCTTGTACAGTAATAGACTAAAGCATTGATACATATTTCTAAATTTGAGGTGAAGAACAGAAATTCTTTTGGGAGGGTGCGGGGGGTTATGGGTAATATGTCATTCGACGGCCTGTCATGAAAAATGTGTGTGTGTGTGTGTGTGTGTGTGTGTGTGTGTGTGTGTGTGTGTGTGTGTGTGTGTCTGTGCGTGCGTGCGTGTTTTGTTATTTTGCAGGAATTTCACTTAAAAAGGGATCCAATCGCCAGAGACAATTCACGGATCTCCTATGGAAATTGTTTCCACCTTTATACTTTGTACCGTGACACAGATGGAAACGTTCGACAGGTTAGTTTTTCTTAATTTTTTTACAGGAGGTAATTAACAGATATTACCCCCACCCCCACCCCGCTCAAAAAATAATAATCATAATAAAGAGAAAGACAAATCTGTATTGCTTGGAGACGTATTTGATACAAATGTAAATCATGTATTGCTAAATGAGCCTGGGTGAGATATGGCAAATCACTGATTAATTTCTACTTTGGAGCTTTGTTAACCGCGAGCTATTCTCTCCAGGCACCAGCAAACGGCTGCCATTGCAGGCCCAAGATTAAAAAACTAGAAGAGAAACTGAAGGGCACACAAGAGGAGCTGAGACTGCACATCCTGAACATGCACGAACAGGTTGATAGCAGGCTGCGCAAGATGGACCGCAAGAGCAAACATCAGGTCTGCTTGTACGACTAAATACATACAAATAGCTCATACATGTTGTGACACTGTATATGTTACGTTAGGAAATCACTGTTGTACCATTCAAGCAGGATGTATACTTAGAACTGGGTTTTTTCAGTCTGAGTGAAGAAGCTTTGTTATGTTTTTGTTTAGATTACATTTGGTTTTGTTCCCTCATGTGCCCTTTTTGTCCGCACCTGTTCTCGTAAGCCATGCCCCTTCTGTCGAACCAATCAGCTCCCTCAACCCTTAGTGTCTTGACCAGATGTTTCTCATTGTCCCGTCACTTTGCTTGTATTTAGTTCCCTGCCGTCTTTGTTGGATCATTGTGTGTGTGCATCTCTGTGCGCCCCTCTCACATTTTGTTTCTGGCATAGGTTTTTGTTACTTTGGTTTCCTGTGGTTTTCAGGACTTTGTTTGAATACAGTGATCCCTCACTTATCGTGGTTAATGGGGACCGAGATCCCCGCGAAAGAGAAAAATCCACAAAGTAGGGTTTCCACACCCACCCCCTCTCTCTCTCTCTCTCTCTCTCTCTCTCTCTCTCTCTCTCTCTCTCTCACTCTCTCTCTCTCTCCCTCTCTCTATCCCTTTCTTTCTCCCTCTGTCATCCTCCCTTCTCCCCCGCTTGTAACAGACCATTTTAGAGACCAACGACGCCCCCTGGTGTCTTCTTCCTTTTGTCCCGCTCCATTTTTGACCACGAATTCAGCTCAGGGTACCAGATGAGCTGGGGCCTTAAATGTACATCATCCCAATTTGTACTGATAAATATCTTTCGTCATTTATTTTCATCTCGTCATTTTCAAATACACTGCACAGTCTCTCTTTCAGCACAGTCTAGGCTAAGATGGCATCAAATAAAATAGATACTGAAATGTTTCAGGCACAGACTGACAGACTTGACCCGAGATAACACTGTGTCACTAATGGCTTTTCTCCAGTGAGAAGATAAAAGTCAAGTAAACATTTCATGAATGCATGTTCATGATGATAAACAGGGACAAATTTGGAACATACCTGTTCCATTTCAGGCCGGGAAAAGAGAAAATAGTTATACACGTGGAGAGAGCAAGTTGTGACAGTGTAGATAACACACTAAATCCTAAACATCGAGAAGAGAGATGATGGTTAATGATGGTTTATGTCATGGGATAGTAATGAAACATGCACCACAGAATTCCATGTACCTGTAATTTACTGGGATGTGATCCCGATACAGATTTACAGTGGAACCACTTGACAAAATAAAACTGTAAATTCAACAAAACCTGTTTTCAGTGTGCTCAGATGAGGGGAGAAACATTTTCTGAGACAACCGAAGCAGTCCAATTGTGATTCATTTAATGTTCTGAGAATGAAAAGATATCCATTGAGCTACTTCGGACCATTGTGCCGCTTCATATATTACTTTGACTCTGAAAAAAAGTAGGAATGTTTGAACCACAGGAAGGCATTAGATCAGGGGTGTCAAACGTACGGCCCGCGGGCTGGATCCGGCCCCCAAAGGACTTTAATCCGGCCCGCGAGATGATTATGTAAAGCAGTGGTGTCAAACATACGGTCCGCGGGCCGTTCCATCAGGCCCACAGGATAATTTAAAAGTGAAGAAAATGCATAAAAGACACAGAATAAATATTTTTAATAAGGTGGAATTTATTGAGTATCCGCTAGGGGACACTGTTTTGATCAGAGAAGAAGACAACAGCAGCCTCAGTCCATCACTGAGACAGACCCATGACAGCAGACGCTATCAATAGCACTCTCACATTTACACATTTAATAGCACGCTCCTTAGTTTGTAAGGTGTAGGCAGGGATTACATTTAGATTTTATATGCACGTGTAAATGGTTTAAAACTTCCTTTCTTTATAAATCTCGTTTAATCTTAAAGTGCATTACTATATTTTTCAAAACCAATTACTTGTTAAAGTTTGTACAATCAGTGGGATCAGTTGCAATGCATATATGTGAATGATAAAAGTAAATT